TTCCTCAGCTACTCTTGATCGAATTTCCCTGCACACTCAGACTCGAAACAGAACACACACAGAGGCACATATAAAACTGAAACTGAAAAGCAGAATTAGAACACAACTCACGATTTTTACGTGGTTTCCAGTATTGGGAGAATAAGGATCCCAATACTGACTACTCCACGGTCGGAGAATCACTGTTGTGTGATCTCCGACGATTCACTAAAGATATAGCGATGAAGTTCGATGTAACTCTATCTACCCAAGAACACTTTGATCCATCTCAACCCGATTGATCAAACTCTCTCTTCTCAAACCCCGAATTGCTTCCCCAGCAACTCGTAACAGTGTTTCCCCAACACTAACCCTCAAAGCAATTCTCCCCGAACCCTTTGAGAAACCCCTTTTCTATCAACCTTGCTACTCTCACAAAATCCCCTTTTGTCCTAGCTAGCTTTATTGATCTCTTGGAAAAGGTTCCCATTGCTAGTTCTTCAGGTCGCCTTTTATAGGCAGGAATATGACCGTTAGTCATTCAAATTCCTTCCCTATTTGTGATGATTTGATTGAGAACTTAATCCTCTAATTTGATTTGTAGTGAGCTGGTCATTTGAGCCTCATTGTGCACTGTTGTATCCAATCTTCATGATCTGATTTCTTCTCTAATTTTTCAGCCGTTAGAACCTTCCTTCTTTGTGTTGATTTTCTAGGTGGCAAATCAGCATCTTTGACCTGTAGCTAGCCATTGGGAAGTTCTTTCCTTTATTGTTCTTGCTGATTGTAGAATCTCTCCTCCTTTATGCTGTCTTTGATTTTCTTTCCTTTACTTACAAGATTGTAGCATTTTCCTTCTTTGATTGCAGCCATTGATATGCTTGACTCAACAAAGACTACTAACCATAGTAAGAATTACCCTAATAATGATTACAATAATAATAATAATAGAAACCCTAAATAAATCGGTTTCTAACAGGTCGCTTCGGGTCATTAGCGCTCTCAGAAACAATATCAAACATACTTCATATTTTTTAAAAGAACACAAAGCTTCACATATGCATGGCAATAGTTTATTTAACAAATGCCAATTAACATATTCTCGAATCTTCCTTTGGTAATGAAATGAAATACAAATTGCAAATATCGTCAAAACACAATCACAAGAGTAATACTACTACAAGAAACACATGATATTTGTTTATCTTTAAACTCCAAACATGTCTTTCAAATCCTTGTGAATTTTTTTTAAACATCTCGACAATTTATGAGCGATTTTATCATTTTGAGAGATACATATGAAATGGAACAGGTCTAACCAATCTGACCTGACCCAAACAATCACGGGTTATTGGGTTCGGGTCATAAAAAAATCGATTTTTCGGGCTGGTTCGGGTCGGGTCAACAGGTCTGATTGTAATTTGCCAGGTCTAGTTGTTTTTTGGTCTCTTTAATTAATTTTTTTGTTTTATTATTTTTATTATTAGAAAGTAAACAAAATCCAGAAATTAAAAAAAATTATTCTCTAATAGCTGACGTGGCAAGTGAGGTGGACCTTGACTAACAGTCAACCGAGTTGACCGTCTAATTTGACGGTCAAAACCGCATTCGGGCCAAATAAGGAAGTATACTACATAGTTTAGGCCAGAATAGCAATTTCCGATACCACGGGCTAAAGTAGAAAGTTTGTCTATAGTTCGGGCCTAACTAAGGTATTAACCCTTAAATTAACCATAATTTTAATTTATATATTATATTAATATTGTCCATGATCTCAATTATTAATTCTTCATTATTAATATTGACATTGTGCTGATTTTATATATCATATTAACTTTTTTAATTTTGTTAAAAAACTTAGTGTTCAAGTGACCTTTATGTTTCAATTTTTGTAATTTTCTTAAAATACATAATATCAAGTGAGTTTCATATTTTTTAAATTTCCTATATGAAATGAAAAAATACTTTTACCTAAGTTTAAAATGAGAAACTTTATTTGGAAAAACTATGTATTATATAATATAATAATAATACAAGTTGATTAGATGAAGTTCGGGTTGAGTCGGTCGGTTTATGGGTTAGTCGGGTTAGGGTCAATCAGGTTCGGGTTAATCGGGTTGGAGTTTTAATTGGGTTGCGAGTCAATCGGGTTCGGGTTAATCAGTTGCGGGTTAGTCGGGTTACGGGTCAATCGGGTTGCGTGTCGGGGGGTTACAGGTTATTGACTTTTAGTCAATTCGAATCGCGGATTGGGTTGATCGGGCGGGTTAATCGGGTCGAGTTCTATTTTGACACTTATAACAGCAACAAGGGACTCTCCCTCCTTACACAACCCTTTCCTCCCAACTAACGTCACTCCAAACTTGTCACTCAACGATTCCAGCCACTCCTTATCATCATCATCACCATCAATCACACTCAGCTTAGTCGCTTTCCCCCTCGAAATCAACCCATACAAACTAACCAAATCAATTCCTGATTCCCCTCCCAACAAATGGCCAAATAGTCTCGAACTGAACTGCAGCTTCACCAGCAACAAGTGCTATCAAGAGTGGAAGCTCGGGCACAAACTCGGTCACTTCCTTCTTCAGCACGCCTAAAGGAACCGTGGATTGCTGCGAAATTCTTGCCCATTACTATAGACAAGGGCGCCATCAACACCATATCAAATGCTCTCCACTACTTGGTTGTAGAATATGCTCTCCAGTCTCCACGATATTAAATTAATTTTTATCGGGGGTTGTAGAAAATTGGAAGTTTTTTCGCAAGTTCCTTAACGAATGTCTCGTTGCCACCAGGTATGAAGCAGTACTGATCCCCACCCATTTGGTACAGATCATCCTGATCCCCAATTCCCAATACATGCGATTTGGAAAAATTGTCATTTTGCGTGTGCTCCTTAATTTTTAATAATGACAAATATAACATTTTCTTTATAAATTCACAATAATTATAGTCTTTTTTTATAAAAGATAATCATTGTATTGATAAAAAATAGGCAATTACATTCTGGAATTCAACCAGGCTACAATATCAAAGAAACAACTCGTAGTCGGGTACAAGTGAAGGACTTTTCTAGCCACCAAGTGGACTACCCTATTACTATGACGACCTACGAATCGCACACTCAGACCACCATGAAGCGCAAGATAATGCAACACCTCCTCCAGAAGGACTCCTATCCGGTTGTCCCTGGTATTCGCCTGATTGATTTTATCAATGACTAACTTGGCGTTACCATCAAACCTCACACTCGTGAACCCGTTCGCCAAGCACCAGAGCACAGCCTCCCAGAGGACCAGCATCTCCACGACCCAAGGGTCATCAATCCCCACAATAATTGTAGTCAATCCATTGAAATTGAAAAATCTTCAAAGCGAATTGTTTCTATTGACTTTAAATTATTGTTGGCACCGAAAAGGAAAGACCGAAAGAGCATAATAGTCATGACAGTGGCATGTCGGCCGCTAAAACCATATTCAACCGATATCATTCATAAAACCGGCTAAAATGTCTCTGACATGACTGGTATGATTGATTTTTTAGCTTTAAATAAAATGAAACAGTGTGGCACATTTTGTCATAACCGGATAGCTCTATTAGTATTATCTTGTTCGCTTTGGGCCAAGCCCGCTTGGATTTACTTTTGAGTATCCTCCCCAAGAGGTCTCGTACTAATGAGTTTGGTGGACACTTATATACAAGAATCCCTTCACTTGTATTATTGATGTGGTACTTCCGTACTTGGATTGTCCCATAACCATTTAATAAAGAAAAAAAGGTCTTTTTGATTTGTTTCTTTAATTTGAAAGTTAAATATTGGTGTTATTTGTTGGATAAAGTATGGATGTTTAGATGTTTATGTTATTTGTTGGGTTCAAGTATAAACGATTGGATGTAGGCGCTAAATCTTGTATTTAAATATGATGATTTTTATTTTATTTGGAATGTTATATTTTATTTAAATATGGATGTAGATTTAGAGAAATTGTATTCAAATGTGTTATATATATGCCTAAATTTATTCAGTGTTAATGATTTCTAACTTTCCTACATGTTTTGCTAAAACCCGCCAAACCGACATAACAATATAAACCGATTTGACAACTTTGCGAAAGAGCAAGCTGGGGAGAGTTAGGATAGGAGCATGATTGTTATGCCAGCCAGTTCAACGGGTCTAAGTCACCAAACAGACAAGAAAGGGGTCGGTATTAAGCAGTGTTATTAAAGCCGAACCGAGCCGCTCGGCCTGACCGGTAGAACCGCCACCCGGTCACAAAATCGGCTCGGAACAGTCTAACCAGTTTTATGTAGCCGTTGGCGAGCGGCCAAGGCAGTTAACCGCTCGAGCCGATCGAGCCACTCGTCTGGTTTTTTCCATTCAACCGTTAAATTTAATTAAAAAATTGCAGAAAATTGAAATAAACCAAAACCGTCGGGCTCTTAAATTGAATCCTTATTTCCATTTCACAATTTCGAAGGAAAGAGATGAGTTCTGATTAAGAAATGTCCACTATTTATATTGATAACGTTTATTAAGTACCGGTTCTCTAACGATTTTTAAACGGTCTATTGCCGGTTGGACCACTAAAGTGCGAGCCGTTCGCATTATCGGATCATGCTTCGGTTCGGTTCTGACAACATTGGTATTAAGCCTTGGTCAAATCCGGTCAACATCAAGAATACTGATAAGTTAGGACACAAACCGGATTTCAGTATTTCACACATATCCTTCAAAAGTAAACACCCTTCATGGGATTTGAACTAAGTACCTCGTGTTCAATAGTTCAATTATATATTGGAACTTTGTTATCATAAATCATTGTAAACATTACTAAAATTTATTTTATTCACATTTATTTTTACATATATAATTGCTTACTGTTAGAGTATCAGTTACCAATTCCTAACTATAAATTATTTTGCGTGAGTTTATTCTTTTAATTGTTTCTTCCTAATCAATTTATTTTATTTTAAATGAACGAACTGTTTTAATTACTTTTTTAATCAATTTATTTGGTATTTACTTTTCTAATGTATTCGATATTTGATTAACACTCATTATACAACAGTCAAACTATTTCACTTGTAAAAAACCGGTTAATCGGCATAAACCGGTTTGATAACCTTGGGTGGGAGAAGGTCCACTCCACACTCCACGGGAACACCAGCAGAGGTCGCGAAAACAAATCTAAACTCTTTTCAACCTCCGTGTCTGTTCCTCTCCTCCCTTTGTCTTCGTCCGTCTCTTCCTCCTTCCGCCGTCGACCTCGATCTCCGGCACCCCCTCCTGCGCAATTCTCTCCGCCCTCCGCTCACCAAGAATAACCAGAGCGAGAAATTCCGGAGGGAAACAACGAAGGGAAAAAGGGAAAAGGCGCGGGAGGTTGACGATGATCACGAGATCGAATCTAGCGGAGCAGTTGAGGGAGTACCAGATTCGATCCAAGCATGATTGGGCCTCCGTTTCCTTCTTCTCCTCCACTTCTAATAATTTCAGTCACTCGAGGTAATTTCCTCTCTTGATTCCGCGCGCTTACCGCCATTTCTTTGTTTGTTCTTGAACTTTGCTTCGGCTTGCCGTATGAGTTTTGGGGGCGGTAAAGCACTGAATTTCGTGGTTTCCGCCGATTTGATTAGATCAGCTTGCCTAGGCTGCGAAATTGGACTTTTTCGCAGGGAGTCCCGGACTGTAATTTATGTAGATATGGTATCTATGGAAGGGTGGAAGCTTCTGTTTTGTATTATGAGAATAAATTCAGTCTGTGTGATGTGATCCTCTCCCATTGTGTTTGCGTCTTCCAATGGATGTCAATTAGAAACTACGAAAGTGACTGTTGTCTGTTGGTGATTCTTCGATCTTCTCCCTGATGAAGTGAAGGTTAAGAAAGACTAGAACTTTGGGGTTAGTCATTCTCTAAGTAGTCAATATGTGCCTTTCGTCGTTGCTATCATTCAAGAAGTGTGTTTTGCTCAGCCCTTTTCTTGCTCTGTGGATTAGATGTGTTCATTGTTGAGTTGTCGATATGTTGGCATTCGGAACCCTTGAATTCCCGGTTCTCCAGTATACGATGGAATGCGGTTAGGAAATAGTATGACAGATGGTTTTCTTGATTTGGGAAAATGAAGTTTTGGTGAACATTTTTCTAGGAAGTAGTAGGGAGTGGTGAGCTTGAGCATATGAAACCTCTGCAGATTCCATTTCTGTCTGCACTTGCTTATGGCCCGTGACATGGAGATAGTTCTGTTATGACTATAAACGATTGTCTTATCATTCCTTGGTTACATTCATGTTTTCGACTTGTTATTCTGTTTTCTTACAAGGGAATGACTGCTGATTCTGGTTGTACCCTTCTTGTGCAGGGTTGATGTTGTCATATTCGTCATATGGGAACTCGTTGTTCTAGCCTTCCTGGTCTTCTCGGCCGTATCTTTATACTTTAGGCACATGCGACTCGCCTTCATCTTAGTCTGCCTCACGTTAATATTGGTGCTGTGCATGAAAGTAACGAAGCAAGTTAGGCTAGCAAGGAAGAAGAAACGAAGAATGCTTCTGCCTCTATCCATGTAAAAGACCTAAACAGAAGTAATAACTCTTCTTGTTATGGGAGTTATTAGACAAAACAAAGTTTGTTCTGTAGAGCTTGTAAAACTGCTGGTCTTTGCTTCCCAGCAATCTCTCTCTATAGGTTTATTGGTGTTGGATTCTACACAATTTTCACAAGCGAAAAGCCAAGCCGGTGAATTCAACAAATGCTGGTTCTCAGAGAAACTCGTCATGGAAATTCGGCAAGCATCACCTGATTTGAGGTACTCTTTTTTCTTTCATGGTGCTCAGGGTTTAACATTTGTTGACGGTTCTCAGGAGTTTGCAAGTAGTAGTAGATATAACTTGAAGGGAGACGCATAAATTTTACACAGAGATTAATCTTCTTTACTGAATCGATGTGTAATTCTGCTCAGAACACGGGTGTCATGTTTTTGTTTACAAGAACTGATGAACAACTACTGTAAAGAGGAATACTCAAGGGCCAGAATGTGGGTTTTCAAGTTTTCACCATGAATACAATTGGGGAAATGGTTGTGCTTACTTCCCCTTTCTTTACCTCGAGCTAGCAATGAAGACTATGGTTATGCATTACTTTTTCTACATTGAGTGAGTAAAGACTGCAACTACTATCACTTGGGTTTGAAGAAATGGACTTCAATTGATAGTCCAAATGGCCGCAACCTCCAGAACCCAGTTCATCCATCAGCTCCCACTGTATCATCAAAATCCACATGAAACATGGATATGCCAAGGTGATGGGCAGGACGATCCCTCCTACCAGTCCGACCAAGCTTGGCAGGAATGGGAGAGCCACCATGATGAAGCACATCAGGCATCCGAAGAAGAGTCGGAGCACTGACTAAAGCCACCGCGGGCATGGTTTGTTCATCTTGCTGGTGAATCTTAGCTCTAGGTTGTCGAATGCTGGCATTTTGTAGGTCTGGAAGGAGCTGAGGCAGTGATCAGATCAACAAACTTGTTGAACCAAGTATTAACAATGGCTGTGCTTTTCTTCTACCTTGAGGCAGTTGATCCACAAACTGGATTAATCTCAATGAACTCAGTAATTATAATTAGTTACCTGTATTTCCAGCACGAGATTATGTCATCTGAAGGCCAAACCCACGATCCTAACACCATTTAGAACGTAGCAAATACCATCTATAGCTCCATCGATCCTTCCTAAAACATGGCGAGGGCCAGCAGGTTCCTCTTTATAGGTACATTTTTGGGAAGAAGGCCAGCAGCTTCCCCAGCTTCTCACCAAAAGCAGCCATGGATAATCCGAGGTATCTGCTGTATCACACCCCAAAATTCGATTCATGCAACTGGATCAACAGCCACATGGTGTAGAGTTGCCACACAAAAACAACAGACAGACACAAGATTCCCCATATCTTGCTTTCATAATCAGACAATCAAAGAATAGGTGCGAGTAATGGTTTTGTTGGATCCGTCATGAGTTGAAATGAATTATTGTTTTTTAAGAGGATACATGGTTGTTATCTAGTTAGTTGCTACAACTTAAAACCCACTTACCTGTCCAGATTCTTTGGGTTGGGTAGAGTCTGGTCAACTTAGAGCCGAGTCACTTTTTTTCCGTTGAATACTCGAGTCATCTTTTCACCTTGTGGCCCTTGACAAAAATTAGTGATGTGGAATTTCTCATACCAACACATTGGATTTGTTTATAAAGTTTGAAAAGTTTAGATACTAAATTATTTAAAAAAATTGGGTACCAAAATTTCATTTTACAATCAAAATTTATGGACTTATTTGTAAAAAAAATTAAAATTTAGGTTCTCAATAGTAAGAAAAAACAAATTTGAGTATCAAAATATAATTTATAAAAAAATTAGTGGTTTGATAAGGGCAGACCCACACCCCGGCCCTCCTCGATCCCCCGACCCTAAGGAGTCGGACAGGGTCAAAAGAAACAGAAACGAGACATGTCATTTATATATCTTAATCCTTCGGATATGGGTCAATCAGGGTCAGAGGAGGGCTATTGATCACGAATTAAGATGGAGTTGTATTCGATCTATATAAACTACTAATTAGGGTCTATACTCGCTGTATTACATGCTCTATCATTATGTTGATTTTTTGGCATGTTGATAAAAACAATCTGAGCAGGACTTCTCAGCAAACTTGAATATAATCACTATTACATTAAGGATGGAAGTTTGGTTTGTGGACAACCCACAAACCTCACACATTGTGGTTAATCACATTTATAATTTGTAGGTAGTGGATTGGGTGTGGTTAACAAAATCTTATAGTTAGTGGTTAACCACTAATTACAGTGATTAACCCACTATATCCATGTTAGTATAACCAAGGTTTCTTCTTTACATTTAAGTCCATCATGCTTATTGTTAATAGTTTATGATATAAGCAGTAATGACTAAATTTATAAAAGGTTAAAATAACTTAATGTCAAAATGCAAACTTATAGGGTGTGCCGTTTAAGATTAATTTGCATTTTGTAAAGTAAAAACTATAGTCTCTTAAAAAAAAGCATAGGTTAACCAACGTACGTACGTTTGAGACTGAAAGAAAATTAACCACTAACCGCAGCCGTCGATGGACTTCCCCTCCCTTGTGCCAGGAGAGTACGACAGAAGGTTGCGGTGGAATTACAAACTTCCATCACCAGCGGGATTGCGGTTACCGGTCGTAGGTTTGCGGTTACCGCCTTATAGGAATTGAGAACTTCCATTGTTAGTGATTAGGGATTTGGAGATCGCCCGGGAGATGCAGTATTGAAGATAGATGTAGTGGGGGATTCTGCAGATTTACGTGCGGTGGAATTATGACATCGATGCGACGTAAGGGAATCTACTTATCGATGCAGCTTAGAGGGATTCTTCAGATAGTGTCGGCGTGCGGGAGTCGGAGATCTACGCGGCAGGGGCTGCGGTGGCCGGTGGCGGTTTCTACAGATCGACATTGCAGTGGAGATTTCAAGTTGGACGCGGGGCTGCCGGGAATTTTGCTCGGAGTTTCACAAACAGGAAAAGGAATTCGGCCCTCCATGATTCAAACTTTCGGCCTGCCGCTAGCCATGAATTGCATAGGCTTTCTTGTCCTGCCATGTTCATTCCCTTTCACGCGCCACCGTGAGTTGTAGCAGTTCTCTGCCTAACGCCATCGTGCGTTCAGTCCCACTTTGCATCCATCCATACAATACTTTTGTAGTTTCCATCTAACTTTTTGCAGGGGCTTCAGAATGGCTACAGCCTAGCGGACGTCTTTCCGGCCATCGGGTAGGCTTTTTGACTGACGGCAAGGTAGTTTCTTTATTGGGCTCTCTTATCACGCTTACCAACTTATTTGCGCCACCTAGCAACAACTCTTTTGGCGGGCGTTAATGGCTTTGGCCAGCGGGGGAGAGGTGTCGGGTCTGCTTCTGTTGGGCGTGATCCTTTTGGCGTGCTTCTTTGCGCAATGGGTAAGTTTTATGTAGGCATCCATGATTTTTTCTTGCAGAATTATTGGCATGGAGGGATGTCTTGGATTGGTGCATCACTCATGGTTTTCTTTTGCTCAAATTGCATGGAATTCACACATGGTTATCTGGCGGATCTTGGCGGGTGACTCTCATCATGTGACGGGAGGTGTGATCCTGGAAGATTTTCATCGTTTGTCCAGATCCTTTGAGTTTTGTTCTTGCTTTCATGTTACTCGTTGAGTTAATAGAGCAACCCATTTTGTGGCAAAAAACGCTCTCTAATCGGAAGTTCGACGATTAGTCAACTTACGCCGTGGATTTGTTCTTTTCTTTGACTATGTATCCGGGCTTTCGTCTGGTTTTGACTATGTTAAAAAAAAAACTATAGTCTCTTTCTCTCTTCGACAGAAATGTAGAATACCAAAATCGGAAAGACAAAATCTCCACGTTGAGTAAGATATAGAAAATTGCATCTCTATGAATAACACAACAGCATACCACTATAGTTGTTATAAACCGTGAATTCGTTGGTGACGGCCACAACTCCGTGCCCGCATAGATTTTTTTTTTTTTTTGCAGATAACCACACCCAACCCACACCAAACCGTGGGTAGTGGTTACCCACTAACCACTACGATGCAGATTGTGAGTAGCATAATTATAATTTGATGGATATGGTTAACCACTGGGATGGATAACCCAACCCTAATTACATTAGTTCTCCAAAATTATTTACCAATCTTTGTAAAACATAGAAGTTCAGTGGACACTGTGTTAGTATTTAGTAACCCAAAGCTTAGTAACCGTATATTTATAATCGAGGATAAGTTTCTTAGTATTCATTTTGACTCGCCCCCATGCATTTATTTACCTGGACCGAGGTTCTTTTACATTGTCCCGTGATTTGGGGGAAATTATTGATTATCGATAACAATTTGAGTTAGGGGAAAATGAAATATAATATCAAAATGTCAAAATTTAGGATTAGATTTGACATTCTAGCTCCACCAAGAGCGGGTTTTTATTTTTATAAATAACCTGTATTATTCCATTAATATGAAATAGCATAGGAATCACTTTGTAACTGAGAAACTATAAAGATAAGAGGTTTGGACTGCCAAATTGTTGTATCCTCCCAATTACATGAAGTGTGGACCAAAATATGGTTGCTTGGTTGTTGGTTCGGCCCGAGAACCTAATAGTAAACGAGCCAAACTCTTTCAGACGCTTTGCTAGCTCGCCACATGCCACCCCTTCCTCTGTTATTCTAGTCTCTTCCTTTGCCACCTGCTGAACAACACGAAGACAGTCTGTCTCGATCTCTCTTTCCGATTAAACCCCATTTCTCTGCCATTTCAATCCCAAACCAGATCTCCTTGATCTCTGCCATTTCGGGTTTCCATTGAACCCTAGTTCTTCGAACCGCTGCAAAACAAAAACTGTTGCTCTTGTCCCTCACCACCACCCCGAAACCTGTTCCTTCTCCTTCCAAACAGGCGGCATCGACATTTAGCTTGAAATTTTCACCGGTCGTAGGTTCCCAACACGGAGATGGCCTTGTCAGTGACGATGCCAGAGGGGATTGGTGTTCCGGATACTTAGTAAGCCATCTGTAAGCTCGATTGATTATCTCGTATTCTTCCACCTTTTTCTTATTCAACATCTGGCTAAGATCTGCAGCGATGCCATCATCAAGCTCCGATTCTTGCAGCGATGCCATCCATTCTTCACATGTAAGATCTGCTCCCTTCTCGAATAAGTGGTTTAACGAACTAGGACGCCAGACTCGTCGAACCCATCCGCAATCTTGAAATAAATGTATATGAGTTTCCCTCTGTCCGCAAAACGGACATTCGTCACACCCTTTCTGAGTTCTATCCAGGACGTTTGCCCCTGTAGGAAGAATATTGTGAATACATTTCTTAGTTGATAGGGGTATAGAGTTCAACCATTTCCAATTCATGTATGTTTCGCCAAAGATGGTAGGCCGACTTCACAGAATAAATGTCTGATTTTTCATGACACCAAATTCTGCAATCTTCAATAGAGATTCTAGGGATAGTCGTACGTAAAATGTATTGTTTGTCCTGTTGGAAAGAAATGAGTATGTAGAATGTATGTTTTCCGACTACTTGTCTCTTCATCTATGAGTTCTCTAACTGAGGTGGTCTGTGCAAATTGTGTCACTGGGGATATGATCTTTAGTGTAGGGGAAATAGGAACCCATTTATCAATCCAGATATCCACCTTGTTCCTATTACCAACTCTCCATCTAAGACCTTCCTTCAGAATTTCTTTAGCAGCAAGAATGCTTTTCCAAACATAACTCGGATTGTATCCCAGTTCTTCCTCTAGTAAGTCTCTATCAGGGTGATATTTAGCCTTGAGTATTTGTGCAATCAGGGCCTAGGGGTTCAGGATTATCTTCCACAGCTACTTGCCAAGTAGGGCTAGGTTGAATTCGTGCAAATTTCTGAATCCATGCCCGCCTGTTTCCTTACATCTGCATAACTCCTTCCAACTAATCCAGTGTGTTATGAATTCTTACATCTTTTGCCCCCACCAAAAATTAGATAACAAGCTTTGTACCTCACTTAGAAAATTCTGTGATACCAGGAAGACTTGCATATCATAGGCCATTTGAACTTGAGCCACTGCTTTTATCATAACTTTCTTACCTCCATAAGATAGAAGCTTGCTTTTTCATAATTTCACTTTCTTGCGAAGTCTATCCACTAAGTTGCAAAATATGGCCTTCTTCTGCATTCCCACAACCGTAGGTAAACCCAAATATTTTGCATGGTACTCCACTGCTTTCATTCCCATAACATTTGCCAATTCATGTCTCAAAGCTTCATCAACATTAGGGCTAAAGGATATTTCACACTTAACAAGGTTTACTTTCTGTCTCGATTCCTCTTCGTAGAGGTTGAGAATGCTACAAAGTTCTTCACATTCTGACCTTGTTTCCCTAGAGAATTGCACACTATCATTTTCAAATAATAGATGAGATATGGCCCATATGGGTGGAGCATCCCCTTTGACTCATTTTCCTTCAATCTTCTTATCCTTCTCAGCCTTAGAAAGCAGTGCTGATAACCCTTCTGCCACAAAGAGAAATAGATAGGGTGATATGGGATCACCTTGTCCGAGCCCTTTTGACGGGGAAAAGGTTACCGTCTTATGTCCATTGACTATTATTGAATAAGACAGCGTCGAGACACAAGTCATGATAATTCCATCTGTCATCGAAACTCGGTTTCCTCATTACTGCCTCCAAAAAAGGCCACTCGACCCTGTCATACGCTTTAGAGATATCTAGCTTAGCTGACATAAACCCTTTCCTTCCTTGATTTATGCCCTTCATGGAGTGGAAACACTAAAAAGTGATCATTACATTATCTGTAATCAATCTTCCCTGGACGAAGGAGCTCTGATGTTCAGTAATGACCTCATTTAAGATTCCTTTAAGTCTGCTGGCAAGGACTTTGGAAATGATTTTATATAAAACACTGCACAAACTGATAGGGCGAAAATCCACTAGAGATGCCACCTCCTTCTTTTTTGGTATTAAAGCCAACAAAGTATGGTTGAGCTCCCGAGGGAACGATCCTTGGCTGAAATACCCTTGAATTTCTCTAGTCACATCTACCTCAATAATCTCCCAGTTCTTTTGGAAAAATAAGGTCGACATTCCATCCGAACCAGGTGATTGATGGGGGCCCATTTTCTTCAATGCATACCAGATCTCCTCCTGAGTGATAGGTTTAAGCAAATCCTCATTCATTTCTTGCGTTACTTACCTTCGGATAGCTTCATTGATTCTATATGAGGATATAGAGTTCCTTGCAGCAAAAAAGAGACTTATAATAGTTATTGAACAATCAGAAACTTCTTGTTGGCCTTCTTGGGTTCTCCCTTCCTCATCAGACAGATTTTGAATTGTATTTCTGTTTCTTCTGTCCGAGGCCTTCCTATGGAAAAACTTAGTGTTTTGTCCCCTCCTTTTAGCCAGTCCACGCGGGATCTTTGCCTCCATCTCAACTCTTCTTGCATCATAATTTCATTGAGTTCCCTTTCAATGGCCTCTCTCTGTATGATTACTGAGGCATCTGATATCTTCTTCTCAAGTATTTCCAACACTCGTTCTACTTTAATTTTCCTTTAGCGAAGGTCACGAAAAGTATGCTTACTCCATAGATTCCTCTAGTAAAGAAGACGGTGAGATGCAAAATAAAGCTAATGATGGGCAATGGGATTAAGAGTGTCATGTTGAGCGTGAACGTATAAAGATGTTCATGGTTTACAGAACCTGACAACCACCTTTCATTAGGGGTGGCAAATGGGTGGGTTGGGTTTCGGTTTCAAATTGATCCACGTGATTATTAATGTATTGATATAATAGTTTCATGCTCTTTATGATTTGAAATTCTTTGGCAAATGTATCAAATTTTTCATTACTCCATCAAACAATTGGGTAGAGATAATTGATGCTCTTTATGACTTTGATATTATTAACCGTTTATAATTTGGATCCAATTGATCCCAATATCGAATGGACATTACACTACACAGTAACCAATTGTAGTAGTTCAAAAATATTCTTTAAATTTCATCATTTATAAGTCGATGGTCAGTGTGTGCTCATGTTAGAAAATATGATAACTATTCGATAGTATAAGCAAAAAATAACTAATTGTCATGCGAAAATTAGATTTACGTCATCTGAGTGACCAACAAACTCAATCGACATTCACCAACGTCAATCACCCCCTACTGTTATTTGAGTCGTTTGCAATTGAATAGATGTCAAGTAGCGAGTGTGCTCAGCTCTACCTTTCATTGCCTTCTTTCTTTCTTCCTTTCTTTCTCCTAGTAAATGGTAATGGTAGGGTTTCTTTGTCCAAGTGCATGCATGTGCTTCCTTTTCTTTTATCGAGCTTTATTTGCTTTCGGGCTTAAATTTACACCCTGTTTGGGAAGAGGGGTAAATGGAGGAGGGTTCAAATGTGAGGGTAAACACAGTTTATAACATATTTGCACTTGTTTGGATAATTTAGAATAGTTGGGGGTGCAAAACGAAGGTGCAAAGTTATTATTTTGGCTTACCCCCAAATTGGGATGCAAGGGCAAGAAGAAAGAAAGTAGGATGGTGGAGATTATGGATTTTTATTTTCTAATTATTTGATAATATATAATAATTAATATTTTCAATTTCTTTTCTTATAGTTATCATTAATGTAAACATTATTAGAGGTTGACCGTTTGACTCCGGGAGCAAGTTTATCAATATTCGTCTAGTCAAATCGAGTTCTCTTGATTTATTCGTATAGTTTACTTGACTAAATAATTAAAACTTACAAATTCGAACGTGTTTGACTAAGTTTGACCATATTCAATTTAAAATTAAATTAGACACGAGAACCTTGTAGGATGACCAGTTACGAGCTGGACTTCGAGCTTCGTGGTCGCTCGATCAATGATTATTATAATTATATTTAATTATTATTTGAGCATTATTAATTAATAATTATTTTTATTAAAGTATATTATTTTTATTAAGTTATTTTGTGATAAATTTATTTTATAATAATATAATTATTTACTTTTAACTTTATTTGCACCCTCTACCTTTTCATCCAAATAACAATTTACTTCTCCACTTACACCCCACCAATTTACACCTCACTACAATTTACCCCTCAACTTGCACTACTCGAATTTACACTCGTTTTTGCAAAACATAGCGTTAATATTGTGTTTGCAAAACATAGCGTTAATATTGTGTTGGTTTCAGGGGCTAGCTTTTGGAAATCTTCTTCCCCGTTAGCTTGTATGTGGCTCACAATGGTTTGGTCTATGATATTTATTGGTCATGAGGCCACCCCTATTCCATACATGTGGATAATATGTAGCTGTTTTCATACTTATAACGACCTGCAGTGATATTTTTGTAAAGATCTTTTGAAAGGATCAAGTGTTAGATATGAAAAAACTCATGTTTTTCTAGTATAAAAGAAAAACAAAAACAGATAGATTCTGATAATCTGATCTATGTAGGTTTCTATTTTGATCGTTTTATATGCGCTTACTAAATTTAAGCAGATTTGTGGCTAATTTGAATATAATTATTTTTCGGTAATTAATTTGAATAAAATTATAATAGCATGTGCAAGCGATGTTAAGAAGTGCAAGCGAACTAACAATTCATATTCATAATCCTGATTTGCATACCCCATCCATTAGGGATGATACAATTCTTAGTTACCAATACTGTAAGAAACATCGTATCACTTTGAGGATAAAAAATTGTATCACCCCATGAATTATACAGGGCAAATTACAATTAAGTTTTGCACCTGGTCTTTTGTTCCAAGAACGAAATTGTAAGGCTGGCTCCAACCCAAGGAGTTAAAATGCTAAAAAGCCAAATTTGATTCTTTTTCAAGCTCCAACCCACAAAAAAGTTGGCTGCCAAATTTAGGTAAGTTGGTTTAAGGAGCTAAATTTAGCTTTCTCTTGGGCTGAAATGTCAAATTTGGTTGGACAAAAAGTGGTGTCCCCGCTAAACACACGTCCAACATCTGTCCGCCACAACTACTTTTTTTCTTCTTCTTTGCTCAACTCACAATTGCAATCACGTGGACCTTAAATTTGGAGGCCGATTTGGGCTATAATAAAGATTAAGCCCAACGAAGCAAATTAATGGATAATCTCCACTTAATGCTAACAAATTAATGACTAATCTTCCAAAAAAAAATTTCTTGGAATTTAATAAAAAATTCA